AACCCAGCAGGCAGAGGTTGCGGTGAGCCGAGACTGCACCACTTCACTCTAGCCTGGGTGACGGAGTGAGACTCCATCTCAAAAAAAACCACTTAACGGAGTGTTACGCTACAATCTTACTCTGGAATCATAAAATCTAATCACAAAACTATAATAAATGAATCATCACTTGCCTCAAAGAACAATACACTGGCCACCACAAGCGATGGTCTGTTCACGGTCCCCTCACTTTAAACACCTCAATAAAGGCACACCAGGTGCCTAAGAAATAAATAACCGAAGTTTTATTTGCACAGAGCTGTTTTGTGCCTGTCTTGTGCACTCTCATAAAAGAAGATCTCAGAAGTGATGACGTCACTGAGGAGCTGAGTTTTGTGGGTGTTGGACTTTGTGTCTTGCATTTAAAATTTCCAAATCACTTACAACTCTACTCTCTTGCTACATCTCCATAATAGCACTGTAGAGTTGAAATGGTTAATATTTTTTAATCTGTGAAACAAACAAGGAAACTGAGACACAGACAATTTAAGGAACCTGTTCGGATTCCCACAATCGAGTGAGTAGCAGAAGTGATCCCAGAATTTGAGTCATCAAAAAACAGGTAGGTGTTCATCTCACTGCATCAGGAGGGTGCCCAATCTTTTGCAGCCAGCATTGGCTTTTAAAGCTGCCACTGGGAGTCAAATGAGCTGTAACCAATTGCCAAGAACCCAGAAGTATCTATGCAAAGAAAGGAATATCCTTTTTTAATGGCCTGGCAACCGTGAGCAAATCAATACGCTTCAGGTACCTCCAAAACACAGAAGAAGCCTTGGGGAGCAAATTGCTGTGATTTTTCTCACTGCCTTCCAAATCGAGAGAGAACATTCCACAGTGCCAAAAGCACACACACCCCTCCCAGGCATCTCCTACCTCTGAGGACCTTCACAAAATCAAAACTTAGCTTCTGAGCTAGAATGTTGTGCGCACAAAACTGCAGGTGCTGAGTGAAACTCTGACAAAGCTGAGCTTGGTCTGCTGGCATGCAGGATACCTTGGACACCAGCATATGTGGGTTCCCGCATTCCAGAGCAGAGCTGGGAGGGTCTGTGCATGTCTGACAAGGGGACTCCTCACTCTTAGGGCTCTGGAGCAATGACAAGATGCAGACCCTGAGGGAGTGACCCTGAAGCCTCCTCCCAGCTGGTCCTGTTGCCCCTTCGGCAGGGCCTCTTGAAGGAGCTGTTGCCCCATACCCTTCAGCCTGCCCTCTGGGGCCCCATCCTGCTGCCCCGTGCCCCTCAGCCTGCCCCCTGGGGCCCCATCCTGCTGCCCCGTGCCCCTCAGCCTGCCCTCTGGGGCCCCATGCTGCTGCCCCATGCCCTTCAGCCTGCCTTCTGGGGCCCTATCCTGCTGCCCCAGGTGTTTAGAGCTCACTTGGGTTCCAAATGAGCCCCAAAAGCACCAAATCTGGGCTTTGGAGGGGGGTGTCAAGAAAGCTGAGGAACAACGTGCCCTCCAGGCCTGGTCCCAGTGTCCATTTCTGTTCTCACCTCGCCACACAAGTGAAGACACAGCACGTGCTGGGTCCTACCCATCCTGCTGGCAGACTCGGGCTCTATCATGGGACCCCCGATGGCTGTGTATGCAGCTGGGGGCAAGGCATCGGGGGATTGAGCAACTCCTCCCCCATCATGGGCCCCCTCTACCTCCACCCCAGGAGCCCAGCTGCCACGTACCATCCGCACCCTCTCTCCAGGCACCCACTGCAGGTATGGGGCCCCTGCTGAAGGCCAGGGACCGGCGCTTCTTTCTTGTGGCTGAAGCCCACACTAATACGGGGTGAACAACCCCCACACCACCCCTACGTTATCATGAGGGCCCGACCTTCTCTGCTAGACTCTCTATCTGCTCACTCACTCACTCTCACTCATTCATTGGACAAACTGAGCACCAGATAAGGCCCTGGGGTCAGCAGTCAGCCCCACAGACAGGGGCCCTGACCTAGCAAGCTCAAGTTCAAGATCTGGCCCCAGGCAAGAAAACAGGCAACTAATTACACTAGGCCAAGGCAGGAGCCCGGCAGAAAGCCTCTGGATTGCTGAGAGGCTCCGCTGCGCTTCTGTGATGCCTTGGTTTTATCTTCTTCTGGGCAGTCGCCTTGAGGACCCTCGGTCAGTGCATTTTCCCTGTATGTGCCTGTGATTGGCTTCTTTCATTTTGAGGAAGACCAACTAATCACAATAGGTCAAGGCAAAAGCCAGGCTGAGAGAGAATGTGGGTAACTCAGAAGGGATTTCTAATGCAACTCAGACCCTGAGACGGGGAGACGCAGGACGAAGTCTTTCTGCAGAAATAGAATCTTAGCTAAGTTTAACAAGGTGAGAGGGAGGGGTGCTGGCTCCTGGTGGCCTCTGCTAGGGGACAGCATATACAAAGTCCCAGCAGCATGAGAGAGTGGGGTATTCAGAGACCTGTGAGAAACAGGGGCTGGAGTGTGGATTTGGGCAGGAGGTCAGGGGGCTTTAGAGTAAGATGAGAGCAGAGGGGCAAATAATGTGCCTGTGGGGAAGGGCTTGCCGACTTGAGTAAGGGTTTTGCATTTTATCTGGAGCTCTTTGGGGAGTCCTGAAGGAATGACAGGATCAGAACTGCAGAAGTGTCTCCTGCTGTGAACCAGGTGGGGTGTTGCTGGCCTGGATCCGCTGAGCGTGGTGGGGCTGAAGGCAAGGGGACAGGCCAGGAGGACAAAGCTCGGTGGCTAAACTGATTTGGGAGTAAGAAAAAGATAAGCCAGAGTCAAGTACTTGTCATTTCAAGTATTAATTAATGATGGCTTGTGCATGCTAGGTAAGTGATTAGAAACAATAGTGGCTATGGACCCAGCAGTTACCAGGTGCCTATTAAACTCTAGCCTGTATAGATAGATCATGCCTCTTATTGCCTCCACAACTCTAACAGGCACAGGGGCGCTGGGGGGCAGGACAACCATCTCCAGTTCAGAGGAGGCATAGAAAGCACAGAGACATTGTCGGGTTTGCCCAAGACCCACGATCAGGGTGTGGCCAGGCCGGACCCTGCTATGAGAGGCTTCCAAGTCTGAGGCCACAAGCCTCTGTAGCAGCCCTTGATTGTTGCTTAGCCTTCCGTGGGTGAGTTGTGGGTGTTTCGGTGTCTTCCCAGCCCTTGTCCATTATAGGAAAATCCACACGGAAGAAATCATGCAGCCCCAGCCCAAATAAACCAACACCAAAGCAATGCATACAGTTGACCACCTTTCCTCCATGATGTCCAACAGCCTCACCCAATTAATAAAATCATGGAAACTGTGTGATGCGAGGCAGTGGCCTGTCAGTCCAAAATAGACCAGCTCTCTGGAAACACATCCTCGGATGAGAGCTGCCGGCAATGTAGGTTACAGCGAGCTTCTCCTTAGCCTCCTGAGCTCATTAAAATTAAAGCAAATGCCTCTTCTCTCATTTTCCCCGTTCACTCTTCTGTTTCCCTATCCTACTGAAGCATTGTCTTCCACCTTCCCCCACCCCCGCACAGGGCCACATAGGATTCGTGCGGCACAATCCACTGTAAGTCATAGTAAGTTCATTCATAGATGTGGAATGCCAGAGAGACCCTGTTTGGATCATTCCTGGCTGCTGTTCATGGGAATATTTTCCTGGGCTCTGAGCAGAGTGGCCTGTGATTGCAATTTGAATCCTGGGCAGATAGAGATGCCTATTTAGCTGGGGAGGGTCTCTAACCGTCAGTAAGCCACCCCCAGGGCATGGTGAGCTGCATTCACTCCATTTCCACCAGGGACACAGAAACTTTTTCTCCCAGCCTCATGAGGCAGTCAGGAACAGGAAGAGGAGCCGGTCAGCAGCACACAGCATGCAGCTCTCTATCGTCTCTCTTTGGTTCACTGCTGCCAGCCTGGGTACCCACCTAAGCATCCTAAGCACATAAGAGGAAGATGCACTGACCAAGAGTCCTCAAGGCGACTGTCCAGAGGAGAATAAACAAGGAATCTCACCCTGAGCTGAGCCAGAGCCTGTTCTGTGCTGGAGGGGTTCCTCGGAATCCCAGAACAGCTCCAAACACTACCCTCTCACTGGAAACACTTGCCACCCCTTGTGTGCCCCCTGACCCTACCATGTTCAGTCCTAGGCACCTCCTTTGACTCACAACTCGGAGGGCCCACACCAGGATGGACCCCAGAGCAGGAGGGGAAGGAAAAGCAAAGCTTCAGAAGCTGCGTATCTCTGAAGAGCTGTTTATGACTTGAACATAATTTATTTTATTTTAAATTTATTTGTCTTTTAACCCTACAGCCTCCAGAATGCCCAGGTGGTCTCTCATTCAAGGACCAGCTGGGGCTTAACTCTGCTCAGCTTCTAAGATCGGACTAGTGCTTTCAGGGTGGGACAGCTGTGCATGGTTAGAAATGTTGAAACTTTTTTAAAGTACCAAGTTTTCAGGGAGGAAAAATGAGCCCTGCCACTAGAGTTTACACATAACAAAACAGTTGAGCTCTGGGGGCTGTATCAAATCATAATATACCATTAAAAAAAACGTGGTATTAAAAATCTGTATCTGAAAATATCGGATTCTTTATTTTTCCATATGTACAAGCCACCTTTGCAGCTCTAAGAGGATTTCAAGAATCACCTAGCAACTAATACAAGATCTGTAACTTTTTCTACCTACAACTAACATCAGTAATCTTAATTTTCCATTGCCAGCCTCACTTAGGAATCCGAATAGACGAACATGTGCAAAAGGCAGCATTTCCAACGGTGGCCCAAAGAGTCAACCAGAGAAAAGCAAGTGTCACCGGGAGGGAAATGGCTTTTCCGTTTTGTTCACTGCCTCTTCTATGGAGAAGCCACCAGGGAAGGCAGGGCAGCCCAGAGAGCGGAGGCAGCCTGCGGGTCTCCCGCCCCGGCTCTCCCCTCCTCCACCCACCGCCTGGCCGGGTCTGCGGCCCCATTCTATCCTCTACACAAAATCATTATATAATGAGCTGGCGAGGCTCCGTATGTTCTACAGTAACCTGTTTGGAAGCATAGGATGCAGTTGTCACCGCGGAGCATGCGCAGAAACCTGGCTACGTTTTTTTTCTCTCTCTCTCTCTCGAGCTCAAGGCAAGAGGTAACTGTCGGTCAGATCCTGCTGAGCCCTGCTGACTCCAAACACAGGATGCTAAAAATGAAATAAGGGGAGGGGCGGGGCGAGCCCCGCGGCGTGCCGTGCACTGTGGGCTTGCAGCCTCGGGGAAGGGACTATCCGGGTAGTAACTACACAGATACACGGCGCGGAATACGGAAGACTTTCCGTTTGTTGTTTAGCTGCCTCTGCGATGTTGGAGTGCTGGGCGTGGGCATGAAGGGCCCTAGGATAAGGTGAGGTGGGTGGCTGGGGGCCCGATGGTTGGTTCGTTGTTTATTCCTAATGCCAGAAAACCAGCAACGGGAGACTCCTGAACACCCCTGGGAACAGCACTTGCAGTCACCGTGTCCAGCAGTGAACTCGCCGGCACCCCGACATCCCTCTCCGGAGCCGGGGGGAAGTGAGATGCGCGTCCTTGTGGCCACCGCGTCTCTCTCTCCGGCGCGCACGGAAAGGCGGCCGGCAGGAATCCGGGCTCGCCCCTCTCGGTGTCCCCCGGCCTTCGCCGCCCCGTCCCCGAGTGCAGGCGGGAGAGGCGTCCTCGGGAGTGCAGGCGCGGGCTCCGGCTCTCCGGGGGCAGCTCCCTCTTTTGTTCCCCTAGACCTTGCCTGGCGTTCCTGGGGATGGCGCGAGAACTCCCCGCTCCCCAAGCCCACAGCCGCGCGCGCGGGTCTCCCCCTCTGCCCTCCGGCCCAAGCTGCGCCCCCTCCCCAGTCTCCAGTGCGCTCTGGGCCCCTAGGGCCGCACGCCCCCCGCCCGGAGCCCATCGGTTCAAGGCCATTGATCCACTTGTAGGGCTGCTCGCTGCCCCTCGCCCCACTCCCGGCCCCACCACCTTGTCCGCGTTCCCGGCCAGTGCGAGGGGCATCCCGAGGCTCCAGGTGGCCCGGGCGGAGAGGCGGGAGAAGCGATTGGAGCCGGGCGCCTCGATGGGGTGCCCTGGGTCAGCGCCCAGAGGACGCGCTCCAGGGAAGGGTGTCAGGTCGAGCGTGCGGGGCTTTGTGTGTTTCCTGCTCTCCTTGAAAATAAAACCGAGCCCGGCTGGCGAAGGATGCGTTCACTCACCATGGCGGTGCCGACCGAGAAAGCGGCCATCAGACAGGCCATGCCCCGGGGGCGGCGGCGGGGACGGGGCTTGGGCTGCGGGGCCGAGGCTGCGCTGGCTCCCGGCTCGGCCGTTGCGCTGGGTGCGGGCTGCGCTCCGGCTCAGGCGGGGATCCGGCTCCGGCTCTGGCTCCGGCTCCGGCGCTCCCGGCCCCGCCCCGCGCGCGCAATTGGCCGGCACCGAGGGGGCGGGCGGGCCGGCAGGTGCGCGTGCTCTTGTTTTGCTCCTGCGGGGGGCGGCGGACCAGGCGCCCTGAAGCGCGGGTTCCGGGAGCCGCCCGGGCTGAGGCCTTGCAGGCGCCGTGGGAGCCCCCTGCCACCCCGGAACCCCTGGGTCTCGAACTCACGGGGGCTGGACCAGCACAGCCCGCGTGAGGCTGCGGGGACACCCGACAGGCATCGGGGTTCCCAGACTGGGAAATCCACTGCCTCCAAGCCTACAAGCGACTGTGTGATGGGGCCAGAGAGGGGGCGTCCAGGGAGGAAGGGTGAGGGGCAGGGGGCTTCTTCTTGCTGCTGCTGCTTCCCCGCAGTCCCCGTTGCTGGACAGCTCTCAGCCAGGTAGAAGCTTGAGGAGTAAAGAAGATCTCACCACTCCAACACCCGCAACAGCACTGGTGTGGGGCGACCCCCGGCAGTGAGGCAACGTGTGCACTCACACGCGTGACATTGCTGTGTGTCAGCCATGCTAAGTGCTGAGTTACAGAGCGGTGCTGAGGGAAGATGCCCAGGCCTCTGCCCTGTGCTCACCCCCAAACAAAAAAGAAAAGCCTCATTTTCTGCAGAGGTGTTTCCAGAGCACGGTTCAAAACCTGGCCATAGGTGTGTTCATGGAACTGCGGCCCCAGGCTGGAATATCAGATGGTCCAGCATCTCTAAAGCCCTTATTATATATAAGTGGGGCCATTTCCTGGTGTCCATGGTGACAAGTCATTCTTTACTCTGTCTCGGGCCCTAATGCTTTTGTGCAGTTGTTTGCACGTTGGGACGAAAAACAGGAATGCATTTCATTTCCAGCACACCTGGGTCCCCAGCTTCCAACCACACCTCAGGGGAGCAGGCCTCTGTCTTTCTCCTCACCTAGAAAGGAGGCATGGCTTTTTACGTCAGGCAGGTGGACCTCACACCCACCGGTCAGATGACCATAACCAAATTCTCCCCCTCGAATCAGAGAGAAAGGAGACATGGTTATGAGTTTAAGGGGGAGAAGGCCCTGCCTTTGTCTGAATGGTGTTGTCTTAAGAGTCGATTCGTTACCTCGATTTTATACTTGGCTGAGATGAAGGAATCTGACTGCTATGTTTGCCAGGTGCTACTGCCTGGGTGCCAGGCCACGGAGGCTGCATGGTGCCTTAAACATAAACCGCAGAGGGGGGCCAGCAAAGCCTGACCTCCCTGTGTATGTTGGGAAGGGAATTCAGATCCACAAACCTGGGGAGCATCTGTGCTGAAATGCAGAAGGAAGATGCCTCACGGCTGGATGTGGGGACTGGTCCAGCCGTGGACCAGTGGGTCCCTGGGACCCACCTTGCTCCAGGAACAGACAGGGCCTAGAGCAGGAGAGGAGGCACGGACACAGCCAGGGAGGAACTGTCCACACGGCCAGGGCAAGTGAGAGACGTCTGGGTGCCTGCAGCGATGTGTACCTACTTTCTGTCCAATGTCCATCCTCCTCACTTCCAGGAATGCGCCCAGGATTTCCTTCTAGACATCCCCCCTCCTCCACCTGCCCCCAGTTCTCGGCCCCAAGACTTATGCGGGATTGATTGAGCTTCAGCTCCAGAATAGGCAATAGGCCAATGGGCTTCAGTGGGTTGATGGCCCCCATCCAGCCTGGCCGCAGTGGCTGGTCAGGAACCAGAGGTGAGAGCAGTGCTTGCTGGGCTGGTGGGAATGACCAGGGGGACGGTGTGTGGAGCGTGAGGATCAAGTCAGAGAGGGAAGATGCCATGCCAGATCCTTGTTGGCTTTGGCTGCTGGATTTTCTGTTGCAGGACAAGTGAAAGGGTCCTCACTTACCCATCTGTACAGTGGGGTCAAAAGCTCCACCGCGTGGGAAATAAGGCCTGGCAAATAAGTGCTTTCCACCAAGCCTGGCACTGAGCAGGCTTCCCACTCTAGTCCCTGCTGTGTTACCCTCCAGCGCCCGAGCAGGGAAGAAGCCAACCAATGGCAGCATAGCACAGATCCCTGCTGTTCCTCTCAAGGCTCTTGGCTGTAAGGAACAGAAACTCCAACTGGTTGAAGCTAAGTACAGAAAGGTTCCCGCACCTGTTTCAGGCCGCCGGAACCAAGGACCTGTATCACTCTGTCCTCAGCCCTGGTCTCTTGCTCTCTCCACGGCCCCGCTGAACATGAAGGGGAGAAAGGGGCACCCTGGGGACTTGGCCTCTGGCATGAGGATCATGTACTTGGTGCTTGTGAGGGTGCCTGCAGGGGAGTCACGTGTCCAGGTGGCCCATTGCCCTTGGTGAGTTTCTGCAACCAGCTGGGCCGTGAGGGTGAGACTGGCTTGGTGGCTGGAATTGCCGCATCTTCTGCAGGACCCCGACAATAGGTCTCTGAATCCCTGGTTCGCCTGAAGGTCTCTCCATGTCCCCACTGGGGCCGAGGCCAGCCTGCGTACAGCCTGCCAGTGTGCACACCCCCCTGTCCTGCCTGCTGTGTCTTCAGCCACTCTGTGCTTCACTGTGTAGCCAGGACATCTTGGTCACTTGACGTCTCCGTTTCAGGAAGGAAAGCAAAAAACAAAGAAGGCTGTCTCTCTGCCCCTTTGCCCAGCTCCTCCCTGCACCATGCCCACCACTGTCTGATGGCAATATGAAGTATGACATATTGCAATATGAAGTATAAAAGAAATCGTGGGATTTCTTTCCCCAGAGCCTGGAAACCGGGTAAGAGAAAGGGGAGGAGGATGCAGAGAGGTGTTTGTTTGCTTGCCTGCTTTTCACAACCCAAATCTCTGACTCTGAGATAAAAATTCCCAGCCAGTTGAGAACAGAAGAGGCTGCCTCAAGTATCAGTAGGAAAGAGGCTTATGGCTGTCCTGGCTGACAGGGTTGCGAGGGAGGGAGACACAAGGATGAACACCACACCAGTGGCATCCCAGGCGCAGGACGACACAGCAGGTGCTCACTATCGGGAGGCATCCCTGTAGGGAACTTGCCCTGGGCTGACCCTTCTGGCCAGCCTGGCCCCTGCTCTGTTGGCTTCTCTGACCAAGGGAGGGAGAGAGCGTATGTGTGTCTTAGTTCATTCTGGCTGTTGTAACAAATTATCTTAGACAGGGAAATCTGTAATCTACAGAAATGTATTGTTCACAGTCCTGGAAGCTGAAAGATCCAAGGTCAAACGAACTCCAGCACCTCTGATGTCAGGTGAGGGCCTGTTCCTCATAGATGATGCCTCTGTGTCCTCACATGATGGAAGAGGAAGAAATGGTCCCCACAACCCGTCTTATGAGAGCTCCATCCTATTCATGAGGCAAAGCCTTCATGACCTAATCACCTCCCAAAGGCCAAACCTCTTAGTACTTTCAGAGTATTACTCATACTGGGCATTAGGTCCCAACAAACAAATTTAGGGGGAACCCCAACATTCAGACCATAGCATTCCTCCCCCAGCCCTCTAAAATTCACATTCTCCTCACATGCCAGATGTGTTCATTCCATCTCGGTAGTGCCCCAAATCTTAAATCATTCCCAGCACCAAATCAAGAGTCAAAAGTCAAGAGTCCCACCTGCACATCATTAAAATCAGATGTGAATGGGACTCAAGGTACACATCCTCTTGGGGCAAATTCCTTCAGCTCTGAACTTGTGAAGTCGAACAAGTTATGTGCTTCCAAAATGCAAGGATGGGGCACACACAGGACAGACATTTCCATCCCGAAAGAGAAAAACAGGAAAGAAGAAAGGGGTAACAGGTCTCAAGTCAGCCCAGAACCCAACGGGGCAAAAAGTATTATACTTCTTTGACTCACGTTTCCACCTTCCTGACACTCTAAGGAGGGGCTTGGGCCCATAAGGGTCCGGGTGGCACCTACCTCATGGATTTGCTGGGCACAGCCCACACTGCAGCTCTCATGGGCTGGAGTCCCCCGCCTGTGGCTCTCTCAGGCTGGAGGTGCACGGCAGTGGCTCTGCTTGTCTGAGATCTTCAGGTGACCCTGCCCCCACAGCTCCAATGGGCATTGTCCTGGTGAGGAGGGTGGTCTCTGCAGTGGCCTTGCCCCTGTGGCAGTTCTCTGCCTGGGCCCTAAAGCTCTCCAAAGCTTCCTCTAAAATCCAGATGGATTAGCCATGCCTGCACAGCTCCTGCCCTCTGCACACCCATGGAGATGGCCCTGCACAGATGCCGAAGGATTGACCATGCCCTCTGAGGGGACACATGCAGCCCGCACCACAGCTGGGGCAACTGATGAGCACAGCACCAGAATGTGGGAGCTGAGGCTTGAGGCAGTGCTGGACAGCAGTGCTGAGGTCCTGCAGGCACCCAAGGCCCCCCTACAGGCATCGTTCTGTCCCCCAGAACTCGGTCGGCACTCTGGGCCGAGGGGAGGGCAGCACTAATAACCTTGGAAGTGCCCTCAGGATGATGCCCTCGTGTCTTCATGCACAGCACCTGGCTTCTGCCCGTCCATGCTAATCTCTGCCGGAAACACTAGTCTGGCTACACCGTCAATCTCCCAAACATGCTTTTTTCTTCTTTACAGTTTGTCCAGGCTGAGGATATGCTAAGTCTATAAGGTCTGCTTCCCTCTGAGTATAAACTCTGTCTTTGATCTCTTGCCTTCTCACATGTTACTCTGAGCAGCGGAGAGAAGTTATGCAGTGTCCTCAACACATGGTTTAGAGTGTTTCTTTCACCAAATATTCGAGTTCATCCCTTGCCACTCTGACTTTCACAGAACACGAGGACACAAACAATTCAGCCAAGTCCTTTGCCATCTGTCACAAGGATGGCCTTTCCTCCCATTTCCAGTAACATGTTCCTCATTTCTGTCTGACACCTCAACAGAGTGGCCTTTACCATCCATATTTCCATCAGCATTCTGATCATGGCCACTTACAAAATCTCGGAGGCTCTGTCTCCTTTTCCTCTGAGGCCTTACCAGGACCACTCTTTATGTCCATTCCTGGCAGTCCAGGCTTTCTTAGCCTGCTCCTCTAAACGCTTCCAGCCTCTGCCCATCACCCAGTTCCAGAGCCACTTCCATACTTGCAGCTGTTTGTTTCTGCAGTGCTCTGCTTCTTGGTGCCGATTTCTGTCTCAGTCCACTTGGACTCCTATAACAAAATATCTTAGACTGGGTAACTTACAAACAACAGAAATTTATTGTTCACAGTTCTAGGGGCTGGGAAGTCCAAACTCAAGGCACCAGAAAATTCAGTGTCTGGAGGCCTGTTTCTCATAGAGGTGCCTTCTGTGCCCTCCATGGCAGAAAGGAAAGGGGCTCCCTTCTGCCTGTTTCAAACCATTTAATGAGGGCATTAATCCCATTCATCATGGCCTAATCACCTCCCACTCTTTATGCTGTCACGATGGGTGTTAGGTTCTAACATGAGTTTGGGGAGGGTACCGACATTTGGATCACAGCAGGGAGAAAGGAAGGAAGGAAGGAAATAAGAGAGGTAGAGACGGGGAAAGAAAGGAAAGAGGAAAGGGGAAGCCAAGTGGACAAGGGGGGGAGAACAGGTGCAGAGGAAAGCCGTGCCTTAGCCCTTGGAGGGGAAGTCTGGGAAAGGGGGTCAGACGCAGAGACCACGTCATCACGGAGGGCAGCGGGATGAGGCTGGTTGGATACACCATATAGGAACTCTGTGTGTTGGTTCATTTTAAAGAAATGGGAATGCTTCATCTCCACTGTTTGTGTCCTATTGTGCTGGCCCTCTTGACTTCAATGGTGTTCTGTCTCCAGTATCCAGATGCACCCTTTTGATTCCCGTGGTGAGCCAGCCCTGTTCCAGAGAGGACCCCTTCTTCCCCAAACACACACAGCCTGCCGGGAGGTCAGTGCAAAGGAGGGGCCATGGGATCAGGGAAGCCAAAGAGGAGAGGGAGGTGCAGGGTAGAGGGAGGGGGACAGCAGAGGCCTGGCGGCCACTATGGCAGGCAGATGATGAGGGAGGGTTTCAGAGGAGACACCACAAGTGGGTACTTCATAGATTAAGTTAGGACAAGATGAGTATTACAGACAGACTCTCTTTGTTTTCTCCCATTAGCATGGAACCAAGAGGGGCTGGGAAAGATCCGGGAAACCATTGCTTCAAGCAAAAAAAGAGTCAATACCATCTGGCCACAGGATGACCTTCAAAGTTGAAAATCAGGGCAGTCTCAAGACAGACACCGGAAAACGACGGGAGACCTCCTTCTCACAAATAATTCTAAGCTTCCCATCACTCCCAAAACAGTTCCCTGCTAGGAAGTAACTGGAGCCACTGTGCACCCCATCTTTCTTCCAAGGAACCTTCCGCCCCTGACTCCCTGTAGTCAACTGTAGAAGACAACCCCCACCCAGAGCCAGCCAGAACATCCCATCCCTCTGGCCACTACTGATGTTCTGGAAAAGACACACAAACCCAGGGGGACCATCAGAGTTCTCGCAGGGAACTGTGAGACCTGGACCGTAAGAGGCAGAGCTTTCTTTCCCTGTTCTGCTGGTGTTGACAAGTTCTAAGGAGAGTGTTTGTCTGGCTAGGAAGATGGAGGCAGTGACAAAGCACTTTCATTGCTGGAACCCCTCCATCCTGCACTCCTAAGTTCATGCCCATTATCCATCCTTGGCCCTTCCCAAGTGGCTGGGTAACCACTTTTAACCTTTAAACAAGCTCGTTCTTCTCAGTGCCCCGTGACCTCACCCGTTAGGTGGGCTGATGATCAATCCTGGTCACCTCGTGAGATGGTTTCAAGGATTCGAGGGAGGGGTCAGCACTTGAAACTATGCCTGGCACATAGTGTGCATCTTATAAATGCTGGCGCTCATTATTATTACTCTCTGTTATGGAATCCTCTGCTCTACCTTCTGACCTTGAACTAGTGTGAATTAGATTTCAGTCACTTGCAGCTAAATAGTTTTGATTAGAATCATCAGTTTGACAAGGAAGCTAAAAGTCAGAGGCCCAAAGCCAGTTTATGAGAAAATCCTTACAAGTAGTTTCTAGATTGACCCTCTAACCCTTAGCGTCTTCCTCACCCAGTGCATGCATTATCTCCCCAAAGAGATGATAAATGATAAATCCCAGATCTCACTGATGTTTCTTTGCTCAGATGGAACCTAGCTGGACTGGGTGCTTAATAAAAACCATGAGTTAGTTATGTTTGGACAACCTCGAGAGCCTTAGAAAAGACTGCAATGTGCATAACTGCATTTTGCCTCAGAACGCCCTGTCGCATAGGAGAGCAGGTACCATCAATGGACCCTCATGGGTTTTACACTTTCACACCAGGTGTCGGGCAGCCCACATTTTGTTATTTCTATCAGTCAGATCTGTGCCTGGTCCTTCAGAGGCAGCTCCTCCTAACCATTCCCAGGTCAGGCCTAGATCAACTCTCTATGGCTCCAAAGGCCACAGCTCAAGTCTTCAGTGGACTCAGCGCCCTGATCACCTGAGCAGAAGCCCTCTTGCCTCCCTGAGACCTCTGAGCTCTCCTGGTGCCTGCAGACTCCACAGCTCCCCTCTTCAGGCTCTGTGACATTTCTCCTGACCCTCCTGCCTCCCTCCCCTAGGGCCCCAGCTCTGCATTCCTCCCCTCCAGGAGGGCTTGCTGACTGAAGTCACCTTGTGGAGCCTAAGCTTTCTAAAGCAAAAGTTTGATTAGAGAGATTATCTTCCTCGTGCCTGGAAACTTCTGCCTAAGGCCCTGCAACTCCCTAAAGGATTTAGGAGAAAAACAACTCATTTTAAAAAGAAAAAAAGAAAAAACAGACATGACTCCTTTTTAAAGGGAGGGAAACTTTCTAGAGCAGGGAAAATTCATGTCAGAAATTATCTCAGTAAATTATCCTGCCACATGAAAATAAGAAAATGGAGATTCCATGAGATTTGTAACCTGCTTAGGGCCAGAAAGCCCAGACAAAGACCCAGGTCTCCCGGCACCTGGATAAGTGTCTTTTTCACGTTTTCACTTCTGTCAAGTATCTACTGGGTGAAGAGGGCAAACCTATTTCAAACGGGCAAATTTCTACAGGGAGCCCAATTTCAATCTGTTGAAGGTCATAGGACAGGCTTGTGGGAAGATGGAATAGACATGCTTTTCCCTACTCCTTCCTCTGAGCACAATTAAAAACCTAGGATATTATACAAAACAAACAAAAGGAGACCCTAGAAGATGGGGAAAGGAAGGCAAAGCATCCAAGGATCTTGGGGATCCAAGCAGCCACACTGTGGTGAGGTCCCCGGGATTTTGTTTTGCATCTTATATCCCAGACTTTGAGTTGAAGAAGCTGAGATCCTGGAAATGCCAATGAGCACAGATAAAAAAAAAAAAAGTTCCAACAAAAGCCTGCTCTCTCCAGCCAAAAGAACAGGAAAGGGGCAACCTAGGAGGATATAAAAATATTCAACAATGACTTCTCTGCTTCAATCAAACATTCCAGAATAAGCTGTGGTCAAATATCCACCCATGCCAGCAAATAAATGAGGAACGAGCTTAGATTTCCACCCTGCTCAGGCTGTAATTAGGCACATAAATCAACCCCTAGTCCTCTAGCCATACTGTATACATCAGAGAAGGCCAATTAGGAAGTCTGGACTTCTGCTCCCACTGGGCAATAACGAGAAGCTCCTTCTCCACCTTGCTGGGGTGGTGACAGGAGACCCAGTAGAGTCAGGACTTTCACCACCACCCAGGGTAACAAGGATACTCCCCACCTTGTGATGTCATGAAGAACATGTGGGGAATAGTAGTGAGGTCTTCTACCTCCCCCAGCTAGGGAGGTATCAGTGGAGGCCAAATGGGAAGCCAGAACTTCGACCCCCACCAAGCAGTAATGAGGAGCCCCTCTTTTCAGGGTCAACAAAGGCTGAGCAGGAAACCTGGATTTCTACCCTTGTCTGGCAGTAAGGTGGTAGTGCCATGCCCCCTCCCCTGCCAGAGTGATGTCAGAGAAGACAATTAATGGATGGATGCCAGTCAGTGCATGCCAACACAAAGATGGCATGAATATTAGAATTATCTGACAAAAGTTAACAAGCAGCCATCATAAAAATGCTACAGTAAGCAATTCTGAGCACACTTGAAAAAAAATGGGTACAGTGGCTCACACCTGTAATTTCAGCACTTCAGGAGGCCGAGGCGGGTGGATCTCTTGAGATCGGGAGTTCAAGACCAGCCTAGCTAACATGGTGAAACCCCGTCTCTACCAAAAATACAAAAATTAGCCAGGCATGGTGGCAGGTACCTGTAATTCCAGCTACTTGGGAGGCTGAGATAGGAGAATCACTTGAATCCAGGAGCTGGAGGTTACAGTGAGCCAAGATTGCACCATTGTACTCCAGCCTGGGGGACAAGAGGGAGACTTCTTCACACACACACACACACACACACACACACACACACACAAAAGAAAATAGAAAGTCTTAGCAAAAAATAGAAGATATAAAGAGCAAAATGGAAATTTTAGAATTGAAAAATTAAATAACCAATACTAAAAACTCAGAAGATGGGCTTAATAACAGAACAGAGGGGACAGAAGAAAGAACAAACTGGGAAATAGAACAATAGAAATCACCAAATCTGAACAACAGAGATAGACAAGTTGAACAAAAAATGAACAGAGCTTGAGGGGCCTGTAGGACTATGCACAAAGATCCAACAGAAGCCCAGAAGTGGGGCTGAGGGGTTGAAAAGGAATCAAAAAAATAACAGCTGAAAACTTCTCAAACCTGGCAAAAGATATAAACCTACAGATTCAAGAAACTTAGCAAACTCCAAACAGAATAAACCCAAATAAACTACATCAAAACGTATCACAGCCAAATTTCTGAAAACTGAAGACAAAGAAGAGATTTTAAAGACAATGAGAGAGAAACAATACCTTACATATAGAGGAAAAAGCAATTCAAATGACAGCATATTTCTCATTGAAAACAATAGAAGCCAGAAAGAATTAGCACAACATTTTTAATTTCCTGAAACGGGGGGAAAAAAACACTGGCCACCCAGAATTCTATGTTCAGCAAAAATATCCAGGACTAAAGGGGAAATCAAGACATTCTCAGATAAAGGAAAACTAAGAAAATGTGTCACTAGTAGACATAACCTAAAAGATTGATGAAAGGAAGTTATTTAAACATAAATAAAATAGTAAAAGAATGAAACTTTGAACATCAAGAAGGGCAGCACTTTGAGAGGCTGAAGCAGGAGGATTGCTTGAGCACAGGAGTTTGAGATCAGCCTGGGCAATGCAGTGAGGCCCCATGTTTACAAATACTTTAAAAAGTAGCCAGATGTGGTGGCACGTGCCTGTAGTACCAGGATATAGAAGAACTCAATGACATTATTAATCAACAGGATCTGATCAATACTTATAAAACACTCCACCCAACAACAGAAGAATGCACATTCAAGCATCCATAAAACAGATACCAAGTTAGACCATATTCTGGGCCACAAGCAAACCTCAACAAACTTAAAAGAATTGAAATTATACAGATTGTGTTTATTTATTTATTTAAAGACATAGTCTCCTTCTGTCACCCAGGCTAGAGTGCAGGGGTTTGATTTCAGCTCACTGCAACCTCCGCCTCCTAGGCGCAAGGTTTTCTCAAGTCTCAGCCTCCTGCGTAGCTGGGATTACAGGTGCGCACCCACCACGCCTGGCTAATTATCATATTCATTGTAGAGATGGGGTTTCGCCATGCCAGTCTCTAACTCCTGACTTCAAGTGATCCTCCTGCCTCAGCCTCCCAAAGTGCTGGGATGCCATGCATGAGCCACCATGCTGGACACCAGATTGTGTTTTCTGATGAAAGTGGAATCAAACTAGAAATCAATAACAGGAAGAGATCTGAGAAACTTCTCAACAGTTAGAATCCAAACAACATATTTTTAAATAATTTATGAGGCAAAGAGGGAGTCTGAAGGGCAATAAAAATACATTTACCTGAAGGAAAATGAAAAGAAAAATATCAAAATTTGTGGGACACAACTAAAACAGTAAGGAGGGGGACATTTATAGCATAGAATTCATATGCATTGGAAATGAAGAAAACTCTCAAAGTGATCATTGAAACTCTTACCTCAAGAATGTAGAAAAAGGCAAGAAAAATCAGAAAAGCCAGTAGAGAAAAAACAATGAAACACAAAGTTGGTTCTTAGAAACAATGAATAATATTTTTTTATTTTTGAGATAGAGTCTCACTCTGTCACCCAGGCTGAAGTGCAGTGGCATAATCTTGGCTCACTGCAACCTCTGCCTCCCAGGTTCAAGCAATTGTTGTGCCTCAGCCTATCAAGTAGCTGGGATTATTAGCACCCACCACTGTGCCTGGCTAATTTTTCTATTTTTAGTAGAGACAGGGTTTCATCATGTTGGCCAGGCTGGTCTCAAACTCCTGACCTCAGCCTTTGTCAGGTGATCTACCCACCTCAGCCCCCCAAAGTGCTGGGATTACAGGCGTGAGCCACCATGTCTGGCCAGTCAATAAAACTGACAAACGTCTAGCAAGACCAGGAAAGAAAAAACAGAGAAGACACAAATTACTGATATTAGGGATGGAGCAAGGGACATCATACAGATCCCACAAGCATCCAAAGGACAACGTGGGAACACTACAAACAGCACTGTAATCATGTATTTGATGACATACATGAAATGAACCAGCTCCTTAAACAGCACAAACTACAACTCACTGAATATAAACAAACTATTTGAATAGTCTCATAACTATTAAGAACATTGAGTTTAGTTTTAAAAACTCAAAAAAAAAAAAAAATCCATCCAACTCTCCAGGCCCTGATGATATTGCTGGAGAATTCTAGCAAACATTTTAAATAATTAACGCCCTTCTTGCAGAATAACGGCCTGTCTTGCCAACACTCAAATGCAGGAAATACAGAGAACACCACAAAGATATTCTGCAAGAAGAGCAACCCCAAGGCACATAATCATCAGATTCAACAAGGTTGAAATAAAGGAGAAAATACTAAGGGCAGCCAGAGAGAAAGGTCGAGTTACCCACAAAGGGAAGCCCATCAGACTCACAGCAGATCTCTCAGCAGAAACACTACAAGACAGAAGAGAGTGGGGGCCAATATTCAACATCCTTAAAGAAAAGAACTTTCAACCCAGAATTTCATATCCAGCCAAACTGAGCTTCAGAAG